TAAACTAGGTACCGCCGTCTTTTACTCTTACAGAATAATGTATGTATGAGTGAAAACTATCGATAGTGCTTACAAAACCATCGATGTTTTCGATAGTCAAAAACCATCGATACTATCGATAGTGCCATCGAAAGTTTTTCAGCTCTATTTTCCAACGGCATGAATAGAGAATAGAATGAGGTTTCATGCAGTTAAGAAGTTCAATCCTGATGGGAAGGAAGATTGAAAAGGCTGGCTTGGTATGGCTTATCGCATCCGATATATTCAACTTTACTAGTGCCATTCTCTAACAAGGGCGATAACTATTCGGACCCTAGGTTGTTTGGGTGTTTATTACGTTGAGTGCTTTGGTTGTACTGTGCTTTTAACGGAAACCAAATAATCAAGTGCATTAATTACTAGAAAAAGGACAGTTATCGGACGATTAGACTCCTCTTTGTTGGACGGGTTCCAAAGTTTCCCCCCGAATCCAAGCGTTTTAGTATCAATATGCATATTTCGTCGGGATCCATGGATTTAGAACCTTTGCCTTTATTGCTTTTGGATGCCGTATAAACTAGCTCGTAGCTTTCGTGGTGCTTTAAACCCTGTCATTATGAAGTTTCAGATGTAGAAGTGCTGTTTTTAACCGACTTCCAAAAAAGGAGGTTTCTCAGTTCGTCTGAATATTTTTTTTTTACGTATGTTACCGCATAACTTTGGACCACGTCAACCGATTTCGATAATTCTTTTAACATCGGAAAGGTAATGTCTCAGAAGTGCTCCCATACTAATCTGGTTTAGAGCCGATCATTGGATCATGAAATATATATATATATATATTAGACTGCATCACCAAAAAAAGTTGCGGTTTTTCCGCTGGGGTTACAAAATTTATTATATTTTAAGACGTCCACCAAAATATTTCGGAAAAATATTACTTAAGATTTAAGCGAGCTGGACCGATTTGAAAATACCTCCAAAAATGGAGAAAGTCCCCTCAGATGACAAAACAGATTAGGCTTAAAAAATCTGCATAAAAATATTTAAAAATCTTTTCAACGGAACCGTAATAATGAGATTTTTGATGCTGTTTTTTTACTTTCTTGATTCACGAAAAACTTAAATAACTGGGCCAAAACTATTCTGATTTAGACTTATGGGCTCTCGGTAGAAAGGTATTTTCCCACTATTTTTATTTATGTGCAAAAAAAGTCATTCGTGTCCCAATATTTTTTTTTCCAAATACCAACACATCTTAATTCAACTTTGAATGACGTTCGTTCATCCTACTTTCTTTTTCATCCTTTGAATGAGTTTATTAGCAAAGAAATAAAAAGAAAGAGAAAATACCTTTCCAATAATACCTCACAAGTCTAAATCGGGAGAGTTAAGGTTCAGTTATTCAAGTTTTTC